AGGAGCCTGAGCAGCGGGTAGAGGTTGGTCCGGATGACTCGAGATGCCTTCTGGCTCAGACAGTGAACAAGTCTGGCAGTTGCAGTGATGAAGGTTTTGCTTTAGGGGAAGTAAAAAGCAGACTGAATTGAAGGAAGATGTTAGGAGACTTGGCTTCTGCTTCCAATTCTGTCACTTATTCACTGTGACTTGGGCCAACTTACTTCCCTCTCTTGGCCTCAATTTCCTTCATCATGAAAATGGAGAAGAATAATACCTAAGCAAGTGCATGCCTTGCCCTTGTCCCCATCCAGTCCCCATCAGAGCCAGTGCGCTGGGGAGCCGCACTGCTCCTGCCCAGGGAAAACAAAGAGGGCATGGATGGGGTGGGGGTGGGGGGGACCTGAGATCCCTGTCTGTACCCTGAGCCATGGGCTGGGGACTCAGGTTCCCATCCTGATTCTGCCGCTAGCTCTTAGGGGCTCTAGCTCCCTTTTGTTCTCCAGGGGAAAGGAGCTGATACCCTTGCGAGAATCAGCTGTGTAGGCCCTATGTGGACAGGCCCAGACTCTACTGAGGGACATGCTGGACTGACGCTCCAGATGAGCTACAACCCTGGTTCTGTCTAGTACCAGCTTTATTGCTTCAGGCACGGAATGTAGCCTCTCTGCCCTACTTTGCTGCTCCCTAACATGGGAAAGATAACAACACTGACATTCCAGAATTGGTGGTGGGGCTTCGATGAGGTCTTGGGTGTAAAAGAGGTGGAATGAGGACTGCCCGGCGGGGCATGCTTGCATAAGCTAACGTGGTGATACTTAAGCGTCTGGCTCATGTAAACTCTCTGGTCATGTTGGGCGAAACTTTTCTGCTCTTTGGGTTTTGGTTTTTATTCCCTGACCTTTTCTCCCAAGCTGCTGGACATTCTGATGGCATCCAGGACCTGGGCTGCACGCAGTGTCTTCTCTCCAGGAAGACAGTCCACCGATTTGCATTCATTATTCTCTGACAGGGGCGGAGGGGTGGGAAGGAGCTCAGGGACAGGCTGAACTCCAGGCCCCAAACTGGGTGAGCTGTGTGCCCCGGCTCCCAGCCACAACCCGAGTACCACCCCTTCCTGGGTGGTTCTGCTCTACATGCTCAGTGTCCCGCACAAGCTGACTGGGTTCTTGTTGCAGCTCGTATGCAGTGATCCGGTGGCCGCAGGTCTACGGGCTCAGCTCGGGAACTGGAAGACCTAAGTCTAGACAGACTTCTTTCCTCTTCTGCAGTAATAATACCTGTCTCTGCCACACCAGCGGCCTCCTTGACTGTCCCCTACCGGGTTCTTGGGACTTTTTTTTTTTTAATTGAAGTATAGTTGACGTACAATGTTCTATTAGTTTCAGGTGTACAACATTGTGATTCAAGTTTATACATTACTCAGGGCTCATCATAAGTAGTCACCGCACAGTTGTTACCGCAGTATTACTGGCTATATTCCTTATGCTGTACTTTTCATCTCCATGATTCATTTATCTTATAATTGGAAGTTTATACCTCTTAATCTCATTCACTTATTTTGTCCATCTCCTTTACCCCTGACAACCACCAGTTTGTTCTCTGTATTTATGAATCTGTTTATTTTTGTATGCTTATTCATTTGTTTTTAGATTCCACATATAAGTGAAATAACATGGCTTTCGTCTTTTTGACCTTTCTCTTGTGGCTGATCTAGCTTGCTGTTTGGTCTTCATCTGCAGACACTGTAATTCATTTCAAAACACTTTTCCTTTATTACCACATAGGACCGCTCTTCCCCCCTTCCATCATCTGACAAGTAATGACTCTAGCCTGCAACCTCCTGGCTAGTGCTTTCCTCTTTATGGCATTTAACTACTCTGTTATGTGAACAGTATTTGAGCTTCTGTTGTCTTGCCCCTGGGGAAAATGTCAAGGTTAACACTAAGGGGACACAGATATTGCAGGGTAATCTTCAGGGTGGAAACTTTTTTTTTTTTTTTTTTTTTACAAGGCAGGAGGCAGGCCAGGAGCTCTGAGAAAGAGCTGTGGGAAATGATTCCAGCAGGTTAAGACCCTATCCTCATTAAGATCAACTGAACTTTAGCTCTTATCTGAGCAGGAGGAAAGACCTTCAACTGCAGGGCCTCTGGTGGACAAAGTAAACACGGAGGTGGATAAAGTGGGTTTTATGCCTGTGTGGTGGGCAGCTTAGCAGTAATTTATGAATGAGTCAACATGACCACAGACCCTCATCAGGGAATGCTGACCAGTGGGAGGGCCCTTACACAACTCACACAAAACCGTCCTTTTCAAAACAACAGACTTCAGACCTTGCTAACCAAAAAGTTAGCGAGAAGCTTCACACGGCTTTCTCAGAGCCGCAGAGGTGGTTCCGGGTGCACAGGGTCAATTGGCTTATCTCTCCTCTCCATTCCTTTCCAGTGAGGAAGAGGAGGCTCGCAGACTTGACTGGGCCCATCATTCCCAAGGTCCGAAGTGGCGTCTAGTGTGTGGAGGGGACGACCGTGCCTTTGAACTGCACAAGTTCTACTGATAATCTGTGCTCTGCAGTGGAAGCCAGAAGGCAAAATGCCGGCACAAAACCCTTTCATGGTTCAGTTCTTTATGCACTAAGGTTTTAGGTTAACTAGTGGTTGTAGTTGAAAATTTTATAAACTATGGTTAATGTGAAGTTTTTCTTTAGTCACAGAAGTTCAGTCTGGTTATTATTTAAAAACTAAGAAGATCCCAAACCGACAGATGTTACTGAAGATGTTCTAGCAGCAGGACTTAGCCCTGGGAGCCCAGTTTCGGTGGCCTTGCTGCGTGGTGTTTCAGGGGTACTTAGAATGTGTAACATAGGAACAAACAGCCCACTCTTCCACATGGTGGGGAAGCATTATAAAATCCTTTATTATGAATTTGATCTTAGGTATTTAGCAAACAGATCATCATTCTTTATTGGCCCTCCTTTAAATCTGAAGAACCTCAAGATTAAAGTTGCCAAATTGATTACTGGGTCAGGAACACAATTTTGCCCTTCAAGAGAGATTGAAGCCACAGAGCTCTGCCAGGAATCCAGGAACGTGAGATTCCTTTTGCTGGATACAAGGAAATGATGGAAAAGCCAACAGTGAAATTTCAAGTTTCAATAAACCATCCTTTCTTTACCAATCCCAGGCAACAAACATTTCCCTGACTGTTCTTTATGAACATCTGGGATCTATTTACAGTTTAATATTGGAATCGGAAAGAATTTTTTCCTTATTGAATGCCATCTGCAATGATGTGAAAACCTATAGCCAAATACTTGAAAATACCTTTCCACATTGCACAGTGGTCCAATGGCTTATGTGAGGTAAAACACTAGAGAGAAATTTCTAGTCCATCACAGGTATGCTTACAGACTCCAACCATGTGTCACATCACTTATTAGACAAGTCACCACTGATCTCATGCCTGTAAATTAAGGCTCTGAAAGCCAACGGTGAAGAAAATCCAGGTATTAAAGAATTAGGAAACCCTGGCCAAACCATCCCAAGATGATTATTCTGAAAATGTAATAATGGTGTTTCTGCCAGATCCCTTTTTAACATCATGCGTATCTCTTGGGATCCAGCAAAAATGTTAAGCCACAATGCCCTTGTGCCTTTTAATATGCCACAGTGCCAGTTAAACTAGCATTTCTGTTGCTTGGGAGTTATTTTCATGAGTGATTCAGCAAATCTTATGATAAAGGACAGGCCAAAGAGCTGATGAGCACAGACTAAGCTGTGGAGCACTGAGCAGAGGCTTTTGACGAAAAAGGAAGTCTTGCACACTGAACTGTAATGATGTGGCCGGTACAGGGTAACCAGAGGTGGAGCCAGGGCCTCACCACTACAGAAGAGTGTCTACTAAGGCTGCAGATGGGCCCGGGAGTGGCACCACACTGTTGGGATGGCCGGCCCCACTAGGCTTCTCCTTGAAACACAACTGCAGCTGTATTCTGCATCACTGGAAACTGCAATATAATATTAAATCTGTTGGTCTGTGGATGGTTGTGTATGTGTTTCTTGTGGCTAGTGTGACCCGGACATGCACCTGACATGTTGGCCAGAGGCTGGGAAACTACTCCGGCAGTGCCGAATGACCTCACTCAAAATGTGGTTATATCCCTCGACGTTCATCTCCAAACTGCCCCAAACATCAGTGTCCTCAAGCTAATGTGAATCTTTCAAAGAAAGAGCATAATTAAAAGCTAAGGGTGTGGGTACTGGGGGAAGCAAAGACTTTTAGGGAGAGATCGCTCACAGAAACCAAATCAAAAATGAAGGTGGGCCACCTTTCAGACGACCTGTTCCATCAGGTGAGCAGGGTTTAGACCTGGGGATGTTGGGTTTAGACCAGGGGATGGCAATTTTTTCCTGTAAAGGGGCCAAATTGCAGATATTTTCAGCTTTGCAGGCCAAAAGGTCTCTGTTGTAACTACTTAATTCTGCTATAGATCATAGGTAAACGAACAGGTGGGGCTATTCCAATAAAACTTTATTTACAAAAACAGAAAGCAAATCACATGCCATGGTCTGCAGATCCTGAGTTTCTCAGGCTGCCAGAGATGAGGGCAGGAGTGGATGTAGGTGATGGTAGGTAGCAGGACAGGCCTGCTTCTGAGGACTCACCCTCCAGGGCTATAGCTTTCATGCTTTTGCCACCAGGATCACCAGGTCTGCTGACAAGACAAATGACTACTACCAGCCTGCTGCATGGCACAGAGAGGGCATGACCTGGTCACCAGGCTCAAGGCTCTCTCCCCCAGCAGTGTTGGGATCCTACACAGCTCACCTTTTTCTGTGCTCTGGCATCTTCTGAGTCAAATGTCTCAGTTAAGTGGTCAGCACCCAACTCCCTCTTCCCGGCCCCTCTGAAGTTCAGGTGGCCAATATCCTACCCAGTTTATGATGCTGGCATTGCCAGCACTCAAGTTCAAGTTTCTGTTGCTGCAGCTCTGACACTCTCTAATGTGTGGTCACTGTGAACTAGCTTTGTGAAGGCCTAGGGAAATCCTGCTGCTGCCGCTCACGTGAGCATGGTCTGTCCTCACCAACACCCGGCCTTGGCCTGGGGCTCACAGGGAGCCGCACCTGCTGCGGCAGTTCGCTGGGTATGCGTGGCCGTCGGGCTGTACACTCACATTCCTCTTTAAAGCTGCTCTGGGTGGGACTCAAAGCCAGCCTCCTCCCTTTGTCTTGACATGTGACACAACAGGCTGTGAATCCTTGTCGTTGGCAAGCAGGGCAGGCCAAGATGAGCTGGCGGCACTGGGGAGTGGAGCAGAGTTTGTACTGGTCCCATGGGGCTCCACAGTATGAACATTCTGGGGAAGAAAGAAAAGCCCTAGTTCCAAACACATACACATGTACACATGAAGACAGGTACTTCTCCAGGTCCTAAATATAACTCTTGGCACATCAGCTAATATACCCCGTTGGGCCTGGGAAGGTTTTAGTAAGTCTCCTGTCCTCTAATAAAAACTGTTCCCTCACCCCCACTATTTGGGGGGGGGGGGACATCTGGGAATTGTCTTCCTGATTCCAACATTCAGTGACCCATTTTTTTCTTTTTCCTATTTAGAAAACAGGTAGTTTTGTTTCTTCATTCCAAAGCTGGCCAACTACCCCTTAGTTCAATGGTCTTTTTCCTTTAGATCATTCCCTTTTTCATGGGAGACAACATATGTGAATACAAATGATCCCACACCTATATTCAGCTTCTGCAGTCCACGCCCCTCCTCCCCAAGCCTGAAGTTCTGCTGTTGCTAATGGACACCTCACCACCCAATTCCTAAAAGATTCCCATTATCTATTTTCTCAGCCCATGTTTCCTGGCCGACTTCCTGTTAGCACTGACATCATTCTTCAAGTCTCCTTAATTAGTATTAGCTAAGCTACCTTTGGGCCTTCTCTCTCGTCTTCACACTCACATGCAAGTACCCATCAAATCCTGCCAACATTTCCTCAGTAACATTTCTCAAATCCACTATTTCTAGTTATTTATAGCTCCAAAACAGATTTTGAGTAGCTTTCAATAAGAGACACAAATACAACGCCATTAAAATTAATAAAAAGATCAAGAAGAAAGGGGAGAAGGCAATCATACTCAAATCTTATTCACTTATCACCCCGGTAATTCAGTCTTAGTCCCTGATCACAGGAGTTCTAGAAAATTACAAGAGCCACTAGGGTTGTCTGCCTATGACCTTTCCTGTTTGAAACTATGGCATCCAGGGGCAAGAGCCACTTTTCTTAAAAGATTATTTCCATCTCCCTTTTACTGACCTCATCTGACACTTGAGGACTTAAAATTACAATCAAACCACAGGCCTCTTGTGCATACCCTCTTGTGGCCACCCCTGCCTCCTGGACTGCCCCAGCCACCACTCAAAAGTACCTAACCTCCCACATGTGTCTATAGACCTCGAGGTTCTTAAAATACATAGCATTACAAAGGAAACCAATTACATGGAAAGACAAAATATCAAAACATTTTTAAAAACCTGTGATATAGTTAAGACATTATATTAACACATTAAATAAATAAGACGGGGGTGGAGGGCTAATAACTACTACTTTGAGACAGTGATGAACAGAAATGCTATTTGGAGAAGTCTGCAGCAACTATAATATATGAAAATATTTTGGTTTCTGTTGATGACAAAGTCACTGGTGCATCTAACATTACTGATTCGTTGCTTACATTAACAATCAAAGGAAGTGCGACATATAGTGTGGGGTGGTAAAAATAAAGATATAATTATTTTCCCATCCAAATTCACACAGAACCGCCAAATTCTACAACTCCTGGTTAAGACCCTTGTTTCAGCCTATTAGTTCAACTCCCAGCAAGGAGGCAGAGCAAGTGACATCATCCCCACTGTAAAAGACTTGCCTAACTAAATAGGGAGGCTGGGACCCAGGACAGGCCTCCCGGTTCCTGGTCCAGGGTTTTGTCTGTTCCACTGTTGCATCCCCAACTCTGCTGGGAAATGGTCCTACTATGTTACTTCTTTTCCCTGTTTTCTTCACATAACCAGTACTGGCTTGCCTTTCAGAATGGTTCATAGAGAGAACATGCCTGATCATGAGTTTAGGGTCCAGCCTGTGCTGACCTACCTGACACTATATCACTGTTGTAGGATAAGGCATAACGCTCATCAAAAACAAACAACTTCCCTTTGTAGAAACCATTGGGAAACTCCTCCAGGTACTTGTGGATGCCACCCTTGAGCTGGAACACTTCCTTGCACACTCCCTGTGTGAGGAAAAATGAGGAAATTTGAGGAGACAGGCAAAGACTGGTAAGAAGCTCCACAGATGAGTGGCAGGTGATGAGAGCAGTCAGGGCCTTCACTAGATCCTGGGAAGCCCAGCTATTTTTGCTGCCCCCTAAATATAGAAAAACACCTGTTGGAACATGTAATGTGAATTTGTTCTTCTCAGGATCAAGCATAAGGATTAGGAAAAGGGAGAGGTCAACTAAGCTTTCTCTTCTGTACTTGATGAGGCTCTAAGACTGTGAAGTGCTTTCCCACATCTTGAGATTTAAGAACTTCAGATTTTGTACTTACAAACTCTATGCTGGAACGATTCAAGGGCAAAATAAATCCCTGGTGGGCTGGGGGTGGGAGGGGGGTGATGTGGGGGGTGGAAAGTTTAACACATGCTGTTGGTGGAGCCTTATTTACCTCCAAAGCCTGCAGTGCCCCCAAGGGTGTTAACTCACCTTGGCTTTGAGGTAGGCTGAACCCCGCTCACAACGGATGCCCCCAGTGCAGTACATCAGTACCTTCTTCTCTCTGAAAAGTTCTAGATTTTTGTCAATGTAGCTAGGGAAGTAACTGAATTTCCTGATGTCTGGGGCTAAGCAGCCCTGGAATCGTCCCTACGATATAGGAAAAGCAGAAGGAAAATTATCAGAAAAATATACCTGGTAAGAACAAAGCGTGTGTCGACCCTGCTCAGAGCCCCTTGGCAAGGGAGCACTCACTAGCTGCTGTTTTCATCCTGCACTCTAATCTTTCAACTTCAAGATCTGGAACTCAGAAACAAGGCTGGTGGGCTCTGGGTCATCTTCCCAGAGTCCCTAGGGGAACTGGAGAGGCGGCCCAAAGTCAACTTTATAGGATCCTCGACACACATCAAAGGTAGGCACATGGGAGCCAAGAAGTACATTATGTGCAAAGACGTCTTTAATTCCTCTTTTCTTAGACTTTTTCACCAGATCCTGAGTTCAAAGGCTTGGGTTTTCTCCGAAGCTGTTAGCAGTCGGGGGAGATCTAAGTGACTTGGCCACAGGTAGGCATACACCCATCACTTGGCAAACATGCCATGATGTGGGAAGGGGGAGACCTACCATTTCACTGAACTCACTTCTGGTCCTTACTTACTATTTTGCTTTCATAGAAGTTTCTGCAATCCAGTAGGATAGTATCATTTTGTTCTTCATTTGCCTGAGACAAAAATTCTTCTACTTCTTTATGAAATTCACCTGGGGATAAATGGATCCCTAAAATGAAACCAAAAATTTACTTAAAACAAGACAAAAACAAAAAACAAAACCCAATCACAGCTAGCCCAGCCTAATGACTTAGATGTTGCTCTGTTTCCTTCCACCCAAAACTTTATTCATAATTGTAATTATGTCTGAAAATAACACTATCTGATGACCATGATGAAATTATTTAGTGAGTCCAGATATCCTCACTTTCCTTCCTCCAAAGATAAGCACTATGGAGACCTGGAGGTTTAGAAATGATCAGTCAAAGAATTTTCCATTCTCATACTTGGTCTAACCCAGTGATAAAAGCCAGACAGTTGGGATCTAAATTGCCATGTGGGTTTGCTGGTCCATTATACAGCCAGCGTTCTATTTTCATTGTATGTGGAAGAGCCTAGGCATGTATGTGCTTGACTACAGGCTTCTGACTATAATACAAGTTCAAGGCTAAGAACCTCGACAGGCAGCTTAGAGTATAAATTTGTGGAATAAAGTTGGACTGTTCTTTATAAATACCAAAGAGTAAGAAAAATGTGTCTAAGTCTGTGTGCATGAGTGAAAGAGAAAGGGTGGCAGGGGCTGACGGCAGGAGTGACACATGAGAGAGCAGGGCAGGGGGAGAGAAGGAGGGAAAAGCTAAGGCAGGCAGGAGAGAAAGGAGAGGAAGAAAGGAAGTCAAATCCAGGGGGACTGAAGGGAGAGCACCTCAGTCTGGCGGAGTCCCTGGCCTTCTCAACTCTCTAGAATAGAAGTATTCCTGTGTCTTTGGAGGTCCAGACATCGCAGCTGCTTGTGAAGTCGGCAGTGGGGAGTAACCACCGCTCATGGACAGGGGCTCTGGGGATGGCAGTCACCACTCGTGGTAGAGCCTGATGGCACCAAAGGAACCTCATTCTGCTCAGAGGTGAACCCCAACAACCACCTGAAGCTGCCAAGTACCCAGGTGGGGCTAGAGGCCCCAGAGCATGGTCAAGGAATCTGGATTCCTACCTGCCCAACCCAGAATTGTAAGGCGAATGTAATGAGGCCAGAATTGATTTGTTATTATCACCTAATGACACGGTCACCAAAACGGGGGGGTGCAAAGGAAGGTTCAAAACTGTGATGAGAAGCATGGAAATCTGCTAAGACTTATACCAACAGGGTGCTATGGGGAACCAAACCTGTTCCCCGATGCTGCTCTCCTGGCCCTGCGAAGGCCTGACTGGACAGGGACTCGTAGGGATATGTTTACAAGAGGTGCCTTCAAACAATGTGGTCCCAATGAAAGCAGCCCAGCATTGCCTGGAGCCCACTCGCCCTAACCTCCCAAGCAATGGCCTATACCACCAAGAAAGAGCTCTTTAGTCATCTTGCTGAGGTAGGGACACTGTGCAGACACAGCTCTTTTGGGCCCTTCCCTTCTCATGCATGAGTCTCTTTTCCTGGATATTTGTATCCTACTCCCATTTCCCTCTGGCTTAACCCCTAGCATTTGTTTAAATAGCTACATATTGGAAAGTGAACAGAGACAACCAGACTTTTGTGCTTCCTGATGAAAGAGGACAATACTACCTATCAGACAGTCTTGGGGGGAAAAAGAAGGAAAGAAAGAAAAAGGAAGTCAAATCTGAATCTAACCAAGTCTCTGGATCTGAGGTATCTAACAGAATGGCCACTAGCCACATGGGGATATCAGGCTCTTGAAATGTGGCCGGAGATGTGCCAGAATAAGGGTGACACAGATCCAGGATTTCAAGTATTTAGTAAGCAAAAAAAGGTAAACTATCTCACTAGTAATTTTTTACATTGATTACACATGGAAATATTTTGGCTACATTGCATTGAAGCATATTATTAAAATGAATTTCTCTTGTTTCCTTTTACTTTTAAAATGTGACTAATAAAAAACATAAAATTACATATGTGCCTCACGTTATATTTCTATTAGCACTGCTCTAAATCTAACTACCAATCTATAGGAAATACAGGGGTCAGAGGAGATGCAATCAGCTTTAGCCAGACTGTGGGAAACTCTATAGACAAAATGACCTAGTTCCTTCAAAAAATAAACTGAAAGGGGGGGGGGAAAGGGAGGCAAAGATATAGGTTAAAAGAGACTCAAAGAGACACAGGGATCCATCACAATGAGTGGACCTTACCTGAATCCTAATAAAAACTTAAAAAACTATGAGATCCCCATGGGTATGGATTTCTTCAAATACGCTAACACACAATTCTAGAAAACACCATGTTCCTCCTTTGCTGGTCTAGCCAATTTTAAATACTGGCTAGATATTTGATAATAAAGGAATTACTATTAAAGATGTTTTATTTAGATGTAATAATGGTTTTACAGTTATTTTTTTAATGTTTATCTTTTAAAGGTCTCTACTAAAATATTTATGAAGGTAATGACATGACATTGGAATTCCCTTCAAAATAATCCAGGATGGGGGAAGGGGACAGGGTATAGAAGAAAGTTGGCAATGAATGAGTAATTGCTGAAGCTGTATGACAGGTATATGTGAGTTCACTGTACTATTTTCTGTACTTTTTTTAACGTTTGAAAATTTCCATAGTAAAAAGCAAAACAAAAACATAAAACCCACCAAACAAATGTCTTTCAACGATCTATGGTAACCATGGGGAAGAAGGGGAAGATTCTAGAACACTTCCAAGCAAACTGCTCTGGATTTGAAAGCCACTTGCCTCCTGTAGCAAAAAGCCTGTGTGTTATTCAGTTGATGAACTATTTACAAGTAATAATTACACTCTTCCCAGATTGCTATCTTTGGAACAAGAAAACAACTTCTTGCCAAATCATCAAGAAGAACAAGAGCATTCTAAGGGATGAGTCTTCAATTACCATAAAGCCAAAGAGAAGACCAGTTTAAGCACTGAATAACTGACAGGCTAGCTACCCCAGAGCTATTTTTTTATAAGTATAATTAACACACAATGTTATATTACCTCCAAGTATTCAATAATTCAACAATTCTGTACATTATTCAGTGCTTATCATGACAAGTGTGCTCTTAATCCCCTTCACCTACTTCACCCACCTTCCCTCCGGCAACCACCAGTTTGTTCTCTGTACCTAAGATTCTTTTTTGTCCCTTTTTTCTTTGCTTCTTAAATTCCATACCCCAAAGCTATTTTAAAGAGTGGATTGTTGATCAGTGTCTGACTTCCACATTTGTCTCTATATCAAGTTTTGTCCCTCTGCAGAAAAGCAAAATTTTTCTTCTAAAAGCAAGCATACCAGGCTTCTTGTAGGAGATCTTATTGGGGCTGATCCCCATGGGCACAATTTCTTCAAATACACCAACACGCAATTCTGGAAAACAGCAAGCCCCTCCTTTGCTGGTCTAGCCAATAGGAAGCAAAACAGAACACAGTCTTACTCTCCCATCTTCGGATATAAGACAAGTGCCAAATACAAGAATTATACCTGTTCTGTAATAATATGATAGCTGAAGTCTTAAGAAACCTCAAAGTAAGAACTAATGTTTTTAATGGGAAAAGGGAGTTAGGGCCTAAAGTGTTTCAGATAATTCAACACTAATAAATATTTATTGCATACCTACCATGTATAGAAATGTTAACTTGAAAAGGTGTTTCTATGACTATAAGCATTTAACTATAAAACTGAAACACCACTGAGTGATTTCATTATATATATAGCTTTTGCTTTGGAGCAATGACCTTTCTTTCCCTACCACCACCAGCACTAACGCTAGGTAACGTATTCCCCACCTTTATCACCTACTATGCTAAAGCACAAGGTGACTCAAACAAAGGAGCTCAGCTGTGAGAGCAAAAGCTTTATCCCCCATATGGTATGAAGCGCTGGTCTTGTAATTCCAGGTTTACTAAAAACAAAGTGATGCCCTGAAATAGCCAGGTGGTCCCTCAAGTGAGCAAACATATCTAAGTTTAGAGCTAGATTGTGCAAACTGTCATGTCCTTATTCTACAAGAGGGGAGATTGAAATCCAAGAGGGCATTAACTTGCCCAAGACCACATGGCGACTTCGTAAAGAACTAGAATGCGCATGCTCCTTTGACCACACTGCCTCGCAGCCTACTGGGGAAAGGGTGTTTATCTGGCACTGCTTCTTTCTCCACACTGCTCTCCTCTTCAGGGCCTACAGCAGGAAGAGGCACTGAGGCAGAAGCAAATGGCTCTAAATCCATTTCATTTTCAATTTCTCTTACCTTAAAATCATCCTTACACATATAATCCTTAAACAATGGGCAGGAAAGCATGACTTCCACATAGAGTCTGGTGGCCAGTTTGCTTCCACCAACTGTCCCATTGATTCCTTCTGTAGCAATTCGAACCTGGGACACAAGATGGTGAGAGAAAGGAAATGCAGCCTGTTCTTAGCTAAGTTTAAATCTTCCCGGGGCAGAACAGGCTTGTGTGTGTCCATGAGTTTAATGGGAAAAGCCGAGACACAATAAAAGCGTTACCACATGAAGATACTTATAGCTTTCTAAAATGGCACTGCCCACCGTCCAGACAAGGTACTCAACAGATGTGCACTGGACCAGAGAATGGAATGAATGAAACTTCTGGAAAGCCCCATTTGCTGTCCAATGACCAAAGAAATAAATTTCGAGCTTAACCTAAATCCAGGTCAGCAGATCTAGGATCGAGACTCAGCTTTGCCACTTACTTGCTGTGTGGCCCTGAGAAAATTAACTTACTTCTCTGAACCCCAATTTCTCACCTTGATAACACAGAGATAGAAGACAACCAACAATGAAGAGGACTGCTAAGGAGGTATTACCCAAGTCGGAGCACAGCTGAAAGCTGGAATGTATGTGAGTTCACCTCTGCACAGCATTTGCGGGGAAGCACATGACTGCAAACCCACCCACTGGAATGCAAGTTCCATAGCGGTATGTGTCTATGTTGTTCACTGCGGCATCACCAGTGCTTAGAACAGTGCCTGCCAGGTAGATACTCGATTCATATTTGTTGAACAAATAAATGTATATCCATTTTAGAGACTTTCTGGCATATCAAACGCTGTAGTCTCTTTGAAATGCGTCAGTGGCTAGGGTACTTTAGAACCTGGGTTGAGGCCCCTGCCTTAAGAGGCAATGCTCAGGGGGGCCTGCAAAGTTACTTGTCTTGGTACTACAAAACCCTGTGGATGAGTTTACAGATGGATCACCTTTAGAAGGAGCTGAGCTCTCTAGAGCAAAGTGCTAGAGAGAAAGGACAACACTCTAGTATCATGGTACTCTATGGAAAGAGAGGTCCTGTATTGTTACTACCACTTATAAAACAATGATATCTACCAATGCATTAGAATTTGAAAAATGTAAAAGGCTGTCCTTTTTCAGGGCCCAGAGAAGATACTTTATTTGTTGCTCAGTTGATCCTTTAGGGCACGGATATAAATGGTATTCATTTCATAAGCCAATGCCAACTCACTAGTAGTGGCTAGCCGGAGTTCCATGATAAGGATTCTGGATCACATTCAGGCTCCTTGAGAAAGTACTGCAATCTGATAAAGCCTGTTCTGGGCATGGGAGAGGAAAGTAGAAAGAATATGCCATCTCTGCTGTACAGACTACTATCCTACCAACCAATTTCTATTTTTTCAAGGGTCTACACAGAAAAATAGAGGTGAACCAAAGTGCCAGGAAATCTACACTAAAACTGTTTTTGACTGTGGCAGATAAAATACATACTTCTATGTAACTGTCTTCAGGGTAGGCTAGTAGATTCTTTCCTATGTTATTTTAATCTCAAAACCCAAATAAAGGACAAGCACACCTAATCCCTATATCGCTGGGGGAGAGCAATCTCTAAACTCATACACTACTAGACTTTCAATCCCTAAGATTGTTCAAGACAAACCTTCAAAGTGGCTCCCTGGTGAGGAAGGCCTTATACCTCAGGGATGGAGAGCAATAGTTAGCATTTGTTGAGCACCTACTATGATAGAGGAGCTTTATATTATAATCCTGAAAGGTAGATATCATAATCTCCATTTGACAGAAAAGGAAACAGAAGCTCAGAGAAATCAAGTAGCTTGCCCAAGGGCACAGAGATGGCAGGTAGTAGATCTGGGATTCAAAGCCAGATATTACTCATTCCAAATCATGCAATTTTTCCCTTCCAGAGCCTTCAATGTGTCCCCTCAGGTTTCTTGAGGCAAAAAGGAACGTGTAGCAATAGGAATCAGAAACTTCTTTCTAGAATTTTCAAGTTCTCTTCTTTCTCTACCTAAGTGCCAATATTCTGCCAAATCTCCCACCAGCAGAAAAGTACCTCAGTAAACTGGGCACATATCACTGAAGCCTAAGGATTTAGACCAAGATGCAGGCAGGTGCTGCCACCTTGTGGGTAGGACCCTCATTGCTAATTCACCTCAGGCTGGGCTAAGAATAAAAATCTGTCCCCCAAACAAGGAAAGAGATTGATTTCATATTTTGTACATTCAGGTTCACTGTGAGAACATCCATCTTTCAGGGTGTTCTCTAAATAGAGGTGACAATAAATGTAATTCATTCCAGGGGCACCTGGGTGGCTCAGTCAGTGAAGTGTCGGACTCGATTTTGGCTCAGGTCTTGATCTCATGGTTGTGAGTTGGAGCCCCATGTTGGGCTCCACACTGGACGTGGAGCCTACTTTAAAAAGTTTTTTAAAAAGGTATTCATTCCACAAATGTTTACTACTTTTTTTTTTTACTATGCGCCAGGAATTGTGTTAGGAGTTAAGGATCTAGCAGTTAAAAAAAAAAATTAAAAAAAGATTTCTTGCCCTCTTAGAGCTTACAGACTAGGGAGGGTCACAGATATTAAGAAAAAAGTTACAAAATGACAAGAGCTATGAAAAATAACCACAAGATGCTATGCTAGAGCATACTGGGAAAAGTGAACTTAGACTGAAAGTCAAGAAAGTTCTCTTTGAGGAAGTATCATCGAAACTAAGAACGGAAGATTGAGTAGAAATTTTACAGGCGAAACTGAGTGGGTATGTGAGAGTTCCTTGAAGAGAATTTGCATGGAAAAAAAGCCCAAAGATACAAAAAAAAAAAAAAAAAAACACACACACAAAACCTTTGTGGGCTCCAAAAAACTGAAAGACCGTGCATGTTGCTGGAGTATGGGGAGTGAAGAATGACATCAGGTAGACAGAAGAGGCAGGAAGGGGCCAAATCACGCAGGAACCTAAGGGTATGGGAAGGATCTGGGCTTCACTCTAAATGCAGTGACGGCCACTGAGAGATTCTGAGCAGCAGTGTTTAATTTACCTCTTAAGATGATTCCAGCTGCAGGGTAGAGAATGGGTTAAATGGCAGACAAGGACAGAACAAGATGGTTTAAAAGCTACTGAAGTGGACGAGAGAGTGGTCTCAGGTGGTGGAAGGGGACGGGGAGTGAATGGAGGCAAGGGATATTATAGAGGGTAGAAAGGGCAGGATGTGATAATGAATTGAATGAAGTAAAGGAAGCTTTTGGCACCATCTTTTAGGAAACATGGGTGTGGAAAACATCACTGATCAAACGACCGCCTCGGGGACTTAAAACATCTGTGGAAAAGAATAGGCTTAAGATAGTATAGTGCCATACCCCAAGGGGACCTCAGAATGAACCTAGTTCATTTCAAGTTTACAAAACTATATCATCTCTCGCTCTGTTTTTACACATATATGTTTGTATGCAGATATGTATATGCATATATAAATCTATGTCTGTGTGTGTGTGTGTGTGTGTGTATGTAATCATCAAGAATGTTTTAGAAAAGGAGCACCTGGGTGGCTCAGTTAGTTAAGTATCCAACTCTTGATTTCTACTCAGGTCATGATCTCAGGGTTGTGAGATGGAGCCCCCCCCTAACTCCCTCTCCCCCGCCCCCGTCCCCGCCCTTTTGTAGAGAGAGAAAGTGAGCTCATGCACAAGGGGGGGGTAGAGGGAGAGGGAAAGAGAGAATCTTAAGTAGGTCCCACACTTAGCGCAGAGCCCATCCCTGGGCTCAATTTCACAACCCTGAGATCACAACCTGAGCCAAAATCAAGAGTCGGACACTTAACCGACTGAGCCACCCAGGTGCCCCACCTCCCTTTAAAAAAAAAGAAAAAAAAGAATGTTTTAGGAAAATAAAAACCATCCACAGTCTTATCATGCAGACATAATCATGATTAACATTTTGCTATCTACTACCTTCCATCTTTACACACAAACACTTGTGGTTTTGTTACAAACAAAATATATCCAGTCCTTTATTCAACACTCCCTGAATAGTTATTGTCTGCTATGTGCCAAGCCCTGTTCTAGCACTAAGAATACATCAATTAATTAAGACAAAGTTCCTGTCCTCACCAAGCTTTTATTAGGGAGACAAATTGTAACAAATTAAACAAATATTATACTTTCAGATGGTAACAAATTCTTTGATACTCTCCAAGCAGAAGGAGGTGATAAGATTTAGAGAGAGGACCACTTTGGATCAGAGTTCTGAGGAGATAACATGTATGCAGGCAGAGATCTGAAGTGAGGGATGAGCCAAGCAAAGATTTAGGGGGAAAGCATTCTAGAGAGAAGGAAAAGCAAATGTTAATACCACCAACTGGTAAAAGACCCTGGCATGTTCTAGGAAAATTAAGAAGCAACTTGGAGGGCGCCTGGGTGGCTCAGTCGTTAAGCGTCTGCCTTCGGCTCAGGTCATGATCCCAGGGTCCTGGGATCGAGTCCCACATCGGGCTCCCTGCTCAGCGGGAAGCCTGCTTCTCCCTCTCCCACCCCCCCTGCTTGTGTTCCTGCTCTCGCTGTCTCTCTCTGTCGAATAAATAAATAAAATCTTAAAAAAAAAAAAAAAAGCAACTTGGAATCATACTGTATGTATAGTTCTGTGAATTTTTTTCCAGCTAACATATCAAGAACATTTCCTAATGCCAGGGGTCAGCAAACTGCATCTGCTTCTGCATACAGTTTTATTGGGATACAGCCATACCCATTCTTATACCTATTGTTTATGGTTGTTTTCATGTTACAGTGGCAAGGCTGAGTAGGTTTTGTTTGTTTAGGAAACATATAATTTATTAGATGGACTTAAAAATCAACAAAATCAGGGGTGCCTGGGTGGCTTAGTCCCTTAAGTGTCCAACCCTTGGTTTCAGCTCAGGTCATGACCCTGGGGTTATGAGATTGAGCCCCACGTCAGGCTCCGTGCTCAGTGTGGAGTCTACTTGGGGTTCTCTCTCCCTTTCCCTTTGCCCCTCCCTCCACTCACACTCTCTCTCTAAATAAATGAAGTCTTAAAAGAATCAACAAAATCGATTTTAGACACTTCTTGAGTACAGACTATAGGAATTTTCTACCAAAGAACAGCATATCTAGCAGTCAAGATCATAAAGTTTTACACTTTTTGTTTTTAAACAATATACAATGGCTAGACAATTGATAAGAAATATTGCATAATTAACCCAACTGTATCTTGTTATAATTTCTTCACAATTCCACAATTTTAGGGTTTAATAGAAGCAGGAGTGAGTAGTTTTTGTGCAAAGCCTAAAATACTCACTATTTTGCTCTGTAAGAAAGTTTGCTGACTCTTAGTCCATTAAATACTGTCATAAAAGGCAATGCTAATAACTGTTTGGTAGTCTGCTTAAAAGCCTTGTACGATTTCTCGGACTTCTAAGAACCTAACAGTGAATCCTTTTTGTCTCCAGCACAGCCTCTGTAATCCAAACTGGAGACAAGAGGAGTCCCATGAAGGATGGGGTGTGAGAGGTGTTACCTTGCCCGTGAGGGACAGGTGTTGACACAGAGCTGTCTGCCAGGCACACACCCAGTGGGGGTCCTCCAGGTCACGGTAGCAGTAATAAAGTAGCACCTCTCCTCCATCACTGCCCTGGCTGCTAGAAGAAGAAAACCACATGGAAAAGCATCTGAGTCACTGGCATAAAGAAGCCACAATTCACAAAGTATACCCAGGCGATGTCAGAGGGAAGGCCGAGATGGAGCCGAACTTTGTTCTGAAATAAGAAGCAACTCCTGTCAGTATTTGCTCTGAAAAAGACATTATCTGCACCCAACTTACTTTACAAAAGGTGACTTTACTCTGATTTCCTCATTTCATCATCATATAAGGTTTCACTTCCATTTTTTTCATGTAATCCTCTTAACCATGAGAAGGATTATTATTATCCCCACTTTAGAGCTGAGTAAACCAAGGCCAATTCCTCCCAGGTGAGTCAGCTACAGAGTGACAGTCAAGACTTAGACAACAGTCTTCTGACACTAGAATCCATACTCTTTCTGCTGCACTGTGCTGTCTTCTACTTACTAGTCCTGGGACCTGGGCGGGTCTCTTATCATCTCTTAGACTGATTTCCTCATCTGTATGACCAGAGAAGTGAAATAAACTGCATTTCCCACTTATGCTCTGAAGCTACTCTATGAAATTACATGTTGGAGAAACCCTGCAGACAGTATCTCCCTCGTTAAGAATCTCAGTGAAAGCCCCTTATCTACTGAAGGCTCTGAAAAGTCCTCCAATAAAGGACATTTTAAGCCAGTGCTTCCCAACCTTACTTGTCTTTAGCAGCTCTTTTCAATATCTGTTAGCATCCTTCAGAACTGGTGTTGCATAGAACTTATTTTAGAGAATGCTCTGGTAGATGATAATTAAGGTCCCATCCAACTCTGGAATCTGACACTCTCATCAATATCCTCATCATATTGCAGGGAAGACTGTCCTCTGAAACCGTGTCTATTTTAGAACCTATTTTCCTTTCTCTGAACCGCTATAACAAATTATGATCTGCACCACACAATTTAACTGATCATTAGGTAGCCTGCCTCATATCATCTGCTAATTGTTTCATGTATCCTTTGTTTCTCTCACTAGAAAGCAAATTCCTTAAGGCACAGGGCTGTACAGAGACAAAAAGGCCATGTTTGTGCGGCACCTTGTAGTTCAGCAATGCTCTTACCATCCCCATTTTATATAATTCATATAGTAACACTGTGTGGTAAGCAGGGCAGGCATCATTATTCCTACTTTAGAGGTGAGGAAATAAAGGTACCAAGAGTTTTAGTGACTAGCTCAATTCCGAATCCAAGTTCAATTCTCCAACTTGCTCCTTTTTCTTGGTAAACAACGGGAATATATAACAATATATATAATTTGGTGAGTTTTTCAAAGGCAGGGGAAACTGAATACTAATGACAAAAGTATATTAAATTTGGACATTTTCTATTGACCAAATAGTTCAGAAATTGCTTAAAACCAGAAATTTGTCCTCTAGAATCCTGTAATATAATTTGGTGAGTTTTTCAAAGACAGGATCTAAACTTCTAATCCTATGCCCCAGTTCTAAAAGTTAACATCCTTTCTAAAACATACTCAACTCAGAGAACATTTGGTAACAAAAACCGTTTTTTAAGCTCTAATGTTACTCAGGGTAGAGAGATCATTAACATTTCTGAGCCTTCCAATTTCTCTCTGAAAAATAATACAATGTTCTGTTCATTACCTCTCCCTAGAGAAGATTAGATGTAGCCTTCCACGGAACGTAGTGAACGCTGCAGCTGTGTGGGTACGTGCTACTGCTTCTGAGATACACAGTATGTGGTTACTGGCCTCGCTTAGGCCCATAGAGAAATTCTGTGCCTTAAAGATCTTGCCATTTTCATGGCTAGATAGTGGTGTCTCACTGTGACTGGAAAAACTTTTAAAATTAAATCAAAGTACAGAATGAAATTCTTACCTTATCAGCTCATCAGGGCTAAAGCAGCTTATATCAGGGAGCCAAGCAGACACTTCACGATTATAGGTAAAGTACTCTTTTAGAGGGTTCCTACTGTCTTCAGACTTAAGGCTCTTTAAGGTGTTCGGTGTCACAGCCAGCTGCTTTAACACAGAAGCAGTCTGGTGGCAAATCTCATCAGCATGTTGTGTTGCCACATGTCTGTGGATGCTGATCCGGTCTCTGAAGAGCTGTTGACAGCATTTCCACCATTTTTCTTTACATTCAAAAGGACGTGCTGGAACTTCTTTGGTTTTGACGAAAAGGGCAAATGCCTGCAATTACATTTCAAATATGCCACCGTTAACCTTAATTTTAAAGCTGGCAGAAGTCTCAGTGAATCCCTTATATTATCTTTCCACATGGGTTTCTAGTTTTATGTCCTATTTTTCTATAGAAGAACTTCCTGAGAGTAACAGTTTTCTTTGTAAACTTTTTACCTCAATCTAATATTTGTTAGGGATTGGTCTTAAGGAAAGGTTTGAATTTCAGACAACTATTAGTAAAACATTACAAACAACACTGTCAGTCATTTCTTAAAAGGAAATGGTCAAGGAAATTATGGAGTATACTTACTATGGAATATTGAGGAGCTAGTTTTAAATTATGTGGGAAAATATTTATGATATAATGTTAAATGAAAACAATGCATCAAATTTGCTTATATAACATAATCTCAACTACATTAAAAAGTGCACTGAAAAAGACTGGAAAGAAATATAGCAAGATGTTTTGACTTGTTTCTTGGAAAACAATTTTATTGTTTTTATAAAAATGATTTATACTCATTGTTTAAAAAAATTAAACAGAAAACTATGGATGTACCATAATTCTCTTAACCAATTCCTAACTAATGGCCATTTTTTTGTTTCCAATATTTGCAATTATAAGCAATGTTGAATGAGCATTCCATGCATACATCTTTCTATACCTCTTTAACCATCTCTTTAAATAAACATCTAGAATAAAACTTTTGGGGCAAAGAAACATGAAACTTAAAATTGTGATAAACACTGACTTCCAGAAAAATCGTACCCATTTATATGCTCACCAACAAGGTGACATTTTATCCACATCATCAAGTTTTAACAGCATTTAATTTTTATTGTCAATATTTTTAGTGCTGACCTGAATACAAGGCAAAAGAGATATATTGTTTTTATCTGCATGTCTTTGATCGTAAGGCTGAATATTTTTTCATATCAATTCCTTGTTCTTTTATCTGTTGCCTATTTCTCTACTGTGGCATTTATTTTCTTCCTGATTTGTAAGTGGTTTTAGTGACCTTTTGTTGATCATAGTTATCACAAATTTGTTTCCCAGTTGGTCATGTTTTTCAACTTTGTGGTATTTTTGATGTACAAATAGAGGCTGAATGGGATCTATGATTATCAGCCTCTCAACAATTGTTCCTTTCTGGTCTAATGGGAAGGGAGGTATTTATATATACCTCTGTGTGTGTGCGTGTGTGTGTGTGTTTTAACTTCTTTAATGCATCTGGAGACTACTGTAAAGCATCCAAACATAGGCACTCTAAACCCTGGTAACATATGAAGCACCACTGTGGGACCATCCTCTAGCACACAACTGTATCTGGACTGTCTCAGACTGAAGCAGCAGGAAATTACACTGGAGAGCATTTTTTAGACTTTCTTGAAGTTAATCCTTCCAAATGGGAAAAAAGTTAAAAAGAGAGAGATAGCATGTATGTCAACGTAAGTGCTTCTTCATGTTAAACTTTGATTTTCAAATCTTACCTGGTCTTTTAAGGCCTCGTGAACAAGGCATTGAGGGCCCAGCAGCAGTTAGGGCCCACGTGGAATCTGTTCAAGAAAAGACAGACCAGGGCCAGGATGGCAGCTCAGAGGTGGGTGAGGCATACAAGGGGAAGGCAGGCCCTGGTAGGCAGGCAGCTTGGCAGGGTAGGTACATTGATTACATACAGGAGAATAAGCAAATAAGAAAATATACTGGGACCAATAGGACTAGGCCAAGTCTCATCAAATAGGGAAGTTATAAATATGGGAAAGGGAGAGTTAGGAAAAACTCTTGTGAGGCTGGAATGGAACTGAAAGTATTGATTATGTGCTCATGGTGTGGTTAATACTGAGATAGTAGTAAATATAGAAGTATATGTACGGTACATATAGACATTTGTGTATTCATCTATGTATTTCCCCATGCCAGAGGTCCTGGGAGAGGCAACACTTAGTAGCAATGAGCTTGCCGAGCCTCCAGGTTTTGGTTTTTGACAGTCCTCTGCTAGAAGGAACCAGAGCTCCTTGAAGAAATGTCTGATTCCAAGGATGGGTCAGGAAAAATACAAGATAAGCCTAGAATACCTTATTGAGTCAGAAAGTGAGGAAATGCTCAAAGAATGATGGGAGCAAGTCAAAAGGATATAGATACTAGCTTGAAAGGGCTCCCAGCCAAATCTGAGATGATTTTAGCATCAAAATAAATAACAACATAATGGACTATAACTCAACAAATAAAATGTAACGTGAGTCCACACAGTCAGAAATAAATTGGGAGAAGAGCAAGTTCTTCCTTAGAGCAGAATGCCGAACACTAAATCTAGAAGGAACACAGAAATTAGAAAATCAAGAAAATCACCCTTTAGCAACCATCACAGTATCAACTAAGCAAAGAAACATCAAAGAATCTAAAACTAGTAGATGAAAGTTGGATGAGGAATAAGATAATTACACCGTCTCAAAGCATTCCCCCCACCAAATACTGAATAATTAAAAGGGAAAAAAAATAATTTTATAGCAGAAAAATCCGACAGACACTCCCTTAATCAAGTAACCAAAGTTAACATTGCCAGTAATGGGACGAATTGCTACTATGAACCACCTGATAGATTGTAGCCGAGTGAACACAGCATCTCTTGTGGGATTCTCTTTTTGATAAAAGCACTAATCTGAATCTAATTGTAAGGAAACATGAGTGAAAATCAAGCAAAGGGATATTCTACAAAATAACTCATGTAATCTTCAAATATGTCATGGTCATGATTTCAAAGGAGAAAAAATGAGAAAGTGCTCCAGACTGAAGAAGATATAAGACGTGACAACTCAATATAACATGTGACCCTAGAGTGGATCTATAAGAGCCATTTGGGACACTTGATGAAATATGAATGGAGCCTATGTGCAAAGGGGATATGAGGGTCCTCTATACAATTCTGGCAACTTTTCTCTAAGTCTGAAATTATTGCAAAATAATATTTGAAAAAACCTTTCTGTACCCTTTGGTTTCATTTTCAAGGACATCAGTGTGAAATGAGAGCAGAGGGGTGGTGGATAAGAAGTTATAAGCAGAGACATCTATTCTTCATTGACATGAAGCCAACAAAAGCTAACTGCAGAAGGACAGCAGACTGGAGGTAAGAAAACTAAGTCTCAGTTGCATGTCCTCAGGTCATTTTCCTTCCTATGAGCTTCAAGAGGACGAGGTTTGAGTCAATGATCTCTGAAAAAAGGATAAATGGCATAGAAGAGCAGCATATCATTATGACCTCCCATTATAATCCAATCTCAACTGTCCTCAGTAAGCTTACACAACCATTCTGGGCTGTTCTATCCTTCTCCTAACCAACAGAACCCAGCCAACTAGATCAGATCAGGAGTCTTACATGGCCACTACCCTTCTGCCTGTCTGTTCTCCTTATGACAAGGTCTCCTGGGTTCCTGTGATTCTAACCCTAGATGGGAAAAGGAATCCAGCCCATCTGTCTAGGATCTGTCCTCAAGTACTCAACCGTAAGTGTTGCATAGCTACACCTTGCCCATGATTCTTCTTTGCCCGGCACTGACTTAAGATCATTGGATCATGACCCTGACTAGAACTTACCTTGAACATGGCAGCAGCCTCCTGTCTCACTAACCCTCTACTCCCTGGAGGAAAACCCTGATGATCGATGAGCTACTAATAGATGTATCTGAGTTAACTATACATACACGATCCTGAAACATCAAGTGCAATACAGCAATTTTACCTTCTTCTTGGCAAACGAGTATTTCTTCTTTGTACTGACATCTAACTCTGCTTTGAGTCCGCTACTGGGATTGATAAGCCTTGTGTCTTTTAAATCTAGGTCTGAAAATCTTAAAACACAGGCCTCCAGGTCATCTCCTTGGTCTGGTGAAGTGAAAGAAGGCATCTGGTTTGGTTGCAGTAGTGGGACAGGTTCCTTTCAGTTATCTATCTCCTAGGAAGCAAGGGAGAAACAACAATGTCAGTCTTTGCTACTTGAAATAAATTTGAAACAAATCAATCAGGCAAATGAGCATGGGCCCAGCAGCCCAAGCCATCATAAAGCAGTGAAAGAAACAGAAAAAGTCTCTGCTTTCTTGGAGTTTATATTCCAGTGGGGAAAGAAAGAAAGTAAATAAATGAATATATTGATTAAATTTTAAAAAGTCAGATAGGAAAAAGGGCCACGAAGACAAAAAGCAGGGTAGGGAGTCAGGAGTGATGGAGGGGCTCTTAAAAACAGAGAGTAGGTAAAGTCTTTCTGAGGCGGTAGCATTTGAGCAGAAACCTCAATTAGGGGTTAGCCCTGCAAACATTTAAGGTAAATGATACCAGAAAAGCACCAGGTACAACCAAAATCAACCAAGCTGCGTGCTAGTACCTTCAGTTATAAACACTTTGTTCTTTTTTGTCCTTTAATTTTAGAGCTGTTCAAATTCCATTCCTTAGATGACGTAACAACTAAGAAAGCCCCATTTTAATGAACAGAAGAAATATAAAATATGAAAATCACTAGTATGGTCAAATCTTGTCAAAATGGACATATTACAACCCCATTCAAGCCACCATCATTTTTTTTTTATTTGAGACAGAGAGAGAGAAAGCCCGTGCACAAGAAGGGAGGTGGGTCAGAGAGAGAGGGAGAAGCAGGCTCTCCCCCAAGCAGGGAGCCCACGAGGCAGGGCCCGATCCCAGGACCCTGAACAGACGCTCAACCAACTGAGCCACCCAGGCGCCCCAAGCCACCATCATTTCTTGACTGAATTATTGCAATAGCCTAACTGCCCTCCACCCCAGAGAGTCCAAAGACTTCTCAACATACTCTGATGAAGTCCAAAGTCCTTCCACAGCCCCTCCCACCACCACCTCTCCTCTCTTCTACTACTGTCCCTTTGATCACTCTTCTGATTGCACTATGTCTGTTCATTCCTGAATGTATCACTGGCACCAAGAAAGCAAGGGTTTTCTTTTGTTCACCTCTGCATCCTTAGCACTGCCTGGCGTACAGGAGATGCTAAATGTCAATAAGTACAATAGTTGTTAAATGAAATAAACAACCATTGGGTAGCCAGGAAAGGCTTCACTAAGGACTTGATGTTTGAGCTGAGACCTAAATGACAAGGAGCCATCCATGCAGATTTAGGAACAGAGGCAAAGGAAATAGTACAAATTCCTCAAGTGGGAAGAAGCTTGCCCTTTAGAGAAACAGGAAAAAAGAACGGATGCAGGACAGTGATGAGAGAGCACAGCCCTGTAGGTCAGGGTATGGAGTTTGCAATGCAAAGTAACTGGAGTGTTGTAGACAAAGGCGTAACGTGGTCTGATTCTGGATTTATCTTGAAAGTAGAGCTGGCAAGATTTAGACAGACTTAAGAAGTGAAGGAAAAGGAGGACCCAAGAATGACTCCTACCTACACTTTTGGATGAAGCAATCAGATGGATGGTGTCATTCACTGAAATGGGTATGACTGACAGAGGAATAGCTTAGGACAGGAGAGCGAAACAAGAGTTCCAATTAGACGTGTGGAATTTCAGTGACCACGGACAAGGCAGTCAGATAAGCAGGTGTGGTGCTCATCAGAGACGTCAGGGCAGGGGATGTTCATATCCATGTAAACGGGGACCCAATACTGAAAACATTACTAAAGCAATCACCTGTTCCTTCCCAAACAACAACTGAGAAGGGTGAAGGGTAGGATGACGACCCGAGAGTAACCCCGTGGCAGGAGGCTCACGCTCAGGCTGGTCTTTCAATCCCAGGGGCCACAAGCGCGGCGCCGCCCCTCCGCGCGCCGGGCCGGGCCAATCGCTCCGCCCAGCTTTCCCGACGAGGCAAAGGCCCGGAAGTGGGAGTAAGATGAGCACGCACCAGCCAGTCCTGGTCCTTTCTTAGATCTTTCTTCATCGAGCCCTCTCCGCCTAGCAATCGTCCCTGCTCCCAGGCCCAAGAACCTCCACCGGTCCCGGGCCTGGAGTTCACGGAGGAAGGAACACTGGAGACGTCACCTCGCCCCGGAAGTCTTCGAAAGGGCCGCCGGGAAATACTGCGAGCCCCAGGGAGGGTCTGAAGTTGAGGCGGGGACTCCAGTGTGCGTGGTGGACCTGCAGCCGCCGGATTTGACTTGTGGCCGGCGGCCTCCGGCTGGCTGAAGAGGCGGTGCTTTCCGCGTGTCCCCGGAAGGACTTAGAGCGAAAGGCGGGAGAAGAAAGCCGCAGAGAGGCTGAGGAAGCCCGAGGGGGCGGTTGCGTGCAGACCGGACGCCCTCGGCCTGGTAAGCTTCCAGACGCCGGCTCTCGGGCACCAAGGCCCGCCAAGCCCACCCGGCCGCCTCTCCTGCCTGCGCTTCCGCACCCGTCGCGAGCGAGTGCGCCTGCGCGCCGGCCACTGCGCGCGTCTCGTAGCTGTCCTCGCACCGGCCGGCGGCCCGACAGTTCGTGCCGCGCTTTCCGCCCGGTCTCGCTCGGCTCGGCAGCGCCCCGGCGTGCGGCATGTCGCGGCGGCGGCACAGCGACGAGAACGACGGTGAGTGCTTTCGGCCCGACCGCCGAGGCCGCGCCCTGGCGGGGGCCGAGGTCTCGGGGACTCGAGGAAAGGGATGGGAAGCCCTCCCCCCACACACACCCCGGCAGCGTTCGGGGAACCAGGCAGGCAGAGCGAGAATGTGGCCGGACGACTTCTAAAAAGCCCCCGCTTTCCCCCGCCCCAACTCCTTTAGTCGTCGGCTTGGTGGACCTCTGGTCTCTAAGGACTCTTCGGGATTTGGTCCTTAGTACTGCCGAGTAGGGAAGTACACCTGGGTCTGTGCGGGCCACCTCTTAGGCACAGTGACAGGTACCCACTAGTCCCAGTGTCTTGTTTTGACCCTCCGACTGCACCTGAAAAGGGTTCTCAGAAGGGAAGAAACAAAGCAGTGAGTGGAAGATCTGATGAATCGCAGTCTGAACTCTGCTCTACCCGTCATCCGTTGATTGGCCTTCTTTCATGCTGCAGGGAAAGAAATCTGTTACCCACACTCACGAGGTCACTAATAAACAGATGCACCTTGTTACGTTAGATTTTGAACTAGCTGCAAGTGTATTTCCCTCATGAAGGGAAGAGTGCTGGAAAACTAACGGGAGACCTCTTAAAGATTGAGATCAGGGGTTTTCTATTTCATTTGTATGGTTTGCGCTCCAGGGGATCATGGTGTTGCCACCATAGAAACCAAGGATAATTTTGCTAGTTAAAAACAGGAAAAGATGCTTAATTACAGAAATCCATCCAAAACATACATCCACCAAAAAAGGAAGAAACTGAGTAATTCTGTTATTCTATTCTAGCATATTGTTCTTTAAAAGGAGTGTGGTATAGTGGTTAAGAGGCTAGACTTTGGAATCAGAGGGTTTCAGTTCAAAGCTGGACTCTACCATTACTTCATGATTTTGCCCAGATTCTGTCATCTCTGTAAACCTTAGTATGTAATGTAGACGTGTAATGATACAAACCTCTTCTCAGTTTTGTGAGGTTTAAGTGAGTTAATACATGTAACAAATATCTCATAATGATACTTATCATCTGTTAATGCTTAAGAGCTGACAAACATTGGCAGATGTCAACGATGGAAGAAAAAATATGGAAGAAAATTTTTTAATTAATTTTCTTCACTTAACATTTTCTTGTCCTTGAATTTTGGGGCATTTGGGAGTGGGAGCAGAATCACATGTCTTTAGTTTTAAACAATAAAACATCAGATCTCTGCTAGGGAGTGGCTTGAAAGGATGGATATTCTAGTTCATCCTATCTGATACCTAAGGAGTCAGAGTTTTAGTGTAATAAGCATGGAGACATAGCTAGCAGTGCCCAAACACTGGTGAAAGCAAGTCCAGGGTTCTCTTCACTGCCCAAGTATTACCATGCTGCATGCCTAGGTTTTTTTTTTTTTTTTTTAAGATTTTATTTATTTATTAGAGAATGAGAGATAGCACGGGAGGGAAGAGGGTCAGAGGGAGAAGCAGACTCCCTGCTGAGCAGGGAGCCCAATGTGGGACTCGATCCCGGGACTCCAGGATCATGACCTGAGCCGAAGGCAGTCGCTTAACCAACTGAGCCACCCAGGCGCCCAGATGCCTAGGTTTTTGTTTTTGTTTTTAAACACATGAGGTTTTTTGTATAATGGACATACAGGGCACAGAAAACACGGTTTTCATATGCTTTGACTTGGATTAATCAAAAACTAATATGCTTGAAGTGATTGCTTGGGGTTTAGGGAACTTGAGTCTTTTAAACTTTTAAAGTTCTTCCCATTTTCTTGCTTTTCTCATTCTTTCTTTTCTCCACTCTTCTCCCTTCTAGGGCACCCTTAAAGGGAGAGAAAATGTTTCCAGAGGGCAACCTGGAGAATTGAATGTGAATATGTAGAAAACAATTTTTGTTTTTGCAGTTGTAATGGTGGCATAATTTTCTTGGGAGTTAGTTTCTTTTAATACCACCTGGTCAGTAAATCACGGTCCATTTGGGTCTTGATGCAGGAACCTTAGAATAAATAAGACAAAAAGTAGAATGAGTTAAAGTTTACTTTGTTGAATAATTTAGTAGTAGAGGGGCAGTTTATAGTTCTCTTGAATACTATACCAAATCTGGAACTTCTATAAATTGCCACAATTTGGGTAACAATCAGCTGGGGTTTGCCCTAAATAGTGATCCGAATATTTTAGTTAAGCATCTGATTTTTTTAAGATCTGAAATATTAGACGCTTAAATGTTATAGAAGGCTATTTTAAAATAGTCTAGGGCGCCTGGGTGGCTCAGTTGGTTAAGCGACTGCCTTCGGCTCAGGTCATGATCCTGGAGTCCCGGGACCGAGTCCCGCATCGGGCTTCCTGCTCAGCGAGGAACCTGCTTCTCCCTCTGGCTCTCCCCCCTCTCATGTGCTCTCTCTCTCTCTCATTCTCACTCTCTCAAAATAAATAAATAAATCTTTAAAAAAAAAAAAAGAACATAGTCTAAAATAGTCTAAATCCTAATAGCTGTAATTAAGTTGATGTATCGGAGCATTTCTGGATTATTGTCAGCTCTTATCAGTCACCGGCTGTCATGACTTTCCATATGCTTGACAAGATATAATCATTTATTCAACAAATATTTAACAGTGCCAGGCACTGTCCTAACTACTGGCAGTACAGTAGTAGTGGACAATATAAAGGTCAAGCCTCCCTTTTTCAGACAGAACACAATCAAATAAAATATAGTGTATCAAATGGTGGTAAGTGCTATGGAGAAAAATAAAACTGGGTAAAGGGGTAAAGACTATTGGCGAGGTGGGTTAGCTGTTTTATGTGGGTTGATCAGGGAAGACCTCACTGAGAATGGCATCTGATCAAAGACTTGCAGGAAGTAGGGAAGCAAACCAGGTGGCTGTATGGAGAAAAGCAATGGTCTAAGACAAGGGAACCACGAGTGCAAAGGACTTAAGGCTGGAGCATTCCTGTCCTGTTCACAGAAATCAAGGAGGCCAGTGTCCCTGGAGCAGAGGGGGCTGGAGGAGGTTGTAGGAACTAAGATCAGAGAGGTAGCAGAGGATCAACTCATAGAGGGCCGTTTTAAAATTGTAGCTCTTTGTTCAGACCAGAGTGTCCAGGATCCAGGGAAATAAGTTAGGAGGCTACCAATCTAGTTCAGCTGGAGTGGAGTTCAATTTATAGAGAAGAAAAGGGAAACCCTAAGTGGGAAATTATCATGTGTGGATACTGGTCCAATGCTAAATCTAACTCATTTCTTAGAATCCCTTTAAGAATGTCTCTGTAGGGGCGCCTGGGTGGCTCAGTCGTTAAACGTCTGCCTTCAGCTCAGGTCATGATCCCAGCGTCCTGGGATCGAGCCCCGCAGCATCGGGCTCCCTGCTCAGCAGGAGGCCTGCTTCTCCCCCTCCCACCCCACCCCCCGCTTGTGTTCCCTCTCTCACTGTGTCTCTCTCTGTCAAATAAAATCTTAAAAAAAAAAAAAAAAGAATGTAGCTTTTCAGTTATCATGGGATATACATATAATAGCTGTTCAGTACATTGCTTATTTTGTTCTTCTAAGAATTTATATTATCCAGGGGCACCTGGGTGGCTCAGTTGTTAAGCGTCTGCCTTCGGCTCAGGTCATGATTCCAGAGCCCCATGTCAGGCTCTCTGCTCAGCAGGAAGCCTGCTTCTCCCTCTCCCGCTCCCCCTGCTTATGTTTCCTCTCTCCCTGTCTCTCTCTGTGTGTCAAATAAATAAATAAAATCTTTTAAAAATTTTTAAAAAAATTTATATTATCCACAACCTTTGCCAAAAACCCATATTAACCCCCTTTTAAGCTACTTAGAATCAGGTCCTTATCTTTTAGACTGCGACTACTTTTTTTTAACTTAACTATACAAAAAATGATTAGAAGTGAAGGAATTTGTTCCTCCAAGGAAGAATATAGTTTGTTTCAGGCGTGATAGTCACCTCTGCTTTAAATCTTCAAGATCAAGGTACTTTACTTTTCCCTTTTTCCTGGTTGGTTTTGCTACTTTATTTCCTTTTTATAGGGTTGGTCTTTGTTTTCCAGTTTGTGTTTTTTATAATAATTAAGGGTATAAGATATAGTACAGTATATACATATAAAGTTAGGATCGCCTTACAGGGAAAAATTACTGGTGTATGAAGATCCTTTCAAATGGTTTTTGTTTTTAAGATTTATTTATTTGAGAGAGAGCGTGTGCATACAAGCAAGGGGAAGGGCAGAGGAAGAGACAGAATCTCAAGCAGACTCCATGCCCAGTGTGGAGCCTGATGTGGAGGCTCTACCTCCTGACCCTGAGATCATGACCCGAGCAGAAACTAACAATTAGATGTTCAACCCTCTGAGCCACCCAGGCACCCCACAAAAATGGGTTTAAATAAAGACCTGTTTGTTTCTCTCTCCTATACTAGCCAAGGGTGTCAGAATGAAGTGGCAATATGTAACTTGAATCTATACTGTATAATTTCTACATAGTTACATTTAACATAAAATCTGTTCTTG